GCTCCTTGATGTCTCTGAAGTTTTGAAAGTTAAAAAAAATACTAATAGTTGAGGTAACATACTAAGAATATTATATTGGACTGCCAAATAACATTTTTTTAATTTAATTTTATTTTATTTGTGAACATACTGTATAGAGGGGTTACAATTACATGGGCAGGATAATGCGTACATTTCTTACCAAGCATTGCAGCCTCCTCGTTTGGTTTACCCTTCACATCCCTTCCCAGCCTCCCCCCCCCCCCCAAACCCAAACCCTCCCCCTCCCCCCCCTCCCCCCCCCCGCACCAACATTGTAAAGCTCATCCAAATAACATTTTTAAAAAGAAATAATAAAATAAAATATGAAAAAATTCTAAATAAGAGAAACTCACACGATCTGTGTTTATAAATTCATATGCTGTAAAGCTGTTTCCATATAGGTTTTGATTTATAAGAATTAGTCAAGAAAATGTGGTATATATACACAATGGAATTCTATGCCTCCATCAGAAAGAATGACATTGCCCCATTTGTTAGGAAATGGAAAAACTTGGAAAAATTATATTAAGTGAAGTAAGCCAGGCCCAAAGAAACATAGGTCCCATGGTTTCCCTTATTTGTAATATCTAGTATATGTATGAGTCAAGCGGAAAAGGTCAGATAATGTGATGTCAGGAAAATGAACCGTTAGATGTGTATTTTAATGTTTTTTTCTTTCATGCATGTGTTTCTAACGCATTTATAAGATTATCTCTTTGTTGCTTTGTATGTCCCTCCCCCACAGTATAACCCCTGCTTTCACTATATTTGATGTCAGTATAACTTGTGGAGGAGATGGGGAAAAACCAGTTGTTTAAGGATACAGGTGGACCTGTTGCAACAATGAGAAGTACAAGTTGTCATGTCCAAAATGAGCTTTACAACGTCGGTGCAGGGGCGGGGGTGGAAGGGGGGGGAAGGAGAAGGATTGGGATTGGGGGGGGAGGGGGGAGGCTGGGAAGGGATGTGAAGGGTAAACAAAGGAGGAGGCTGCAATGCTTGGTAAGAAATGTACGCATTATCCTGCCCATGTAATTGTAACTCCTCTGTACAGTATGTTCACAAATAAAATAAAATAAAAGAATTAGTCAAAGTAAGAGCTTCCTAGAAATCATTAAACTCTAGTGATCATTTTGCATATTGACAATAATTACAGTTATGTAAGTATAATTAGACCTTAATTGGAAGGCTTTACATTCAAGTTACTTTAATCCAGTAATAATGGGTTATATGACTTAGGTACTACAATACAATTACTTAGGAAATACTGTACAACTACTTGGGTAGTTATTGGATTAAATAATGTATTAAAGACAGTCCATTTATTGAACATTTATCATATCTCAAGAAATGTTTTGAGATACATAAATTCATCTATTCCTCAACATCTCTCAAAAACATACTATCTTTTAAAAAAAAATAGCAAGGATTAGAGAGAAATGGAGAAGGAAGAGAAGCATTTCCTGCCCCCCAATCCATAAAGAAAATGAGAGGTAAAAACCTCATGTCTTACCGTGATGAAATCAGGTCCCAAAGTGTCTTGAGTAACTTGCCAAGGAAGCATTACCAGTAAGAGAGAACCAAAATAGTGCCTTGAAGTGGATGTCTTCATTTGATAAAAAGAAGAAGAAAAGAAAAGTGAGAATGGAATTAGTGAAGTAGCTAAATAGTGAAAATAGTCTAGGACCACTCTATTTGCAACATGACTCCAATGATAATGTTTCAATAATTAAATAATTTCTCTCATTGTAGGACATTGGAAACTTCAACAAGTCTACATTTTGCTTCAAAATGTTCATTTCGTGTAAGGGAGAGGAGAAAAAAGTAATTATATCAGGATAAAATAATGGAAGACAACATGAGATGAGTAGCCTCTTTGTCTTGTGACACATTAGCCAGTTCTACAAAATAAAATAATAAAGGCATCAGCCAGCAGTTTGAGGGGTTTTTGTTGTTATTTTTATATATAATCAGTTGTAAACTGATTAGCAACTAGCCAATCCAAGTAATTTAAAGTACTAAACTAGTTTGCATTATTAATGGAAGCTAAGAACCTCTTGTGGGAACAGCTGGTTCCATATCAAGAGCCATGATCATCTGCGGATGTTTTCTTATGTGGGTGTTACTTCTACTCACCTACAAATCCTGAATGGCCTGCTTGTCATAAGTTTCTTTCATAAATTAAAATCAAAGGGACAGATTTCTGAAAATCTGGTTTTAAAAAAAGCCAAGTAAATACATGCTCTATGATCTGCATGGAATCTACAATGTCAAGATTGAATAGTGATTATATTTGGCTCGAAAATTCTCTATCAAATTCAGTGACTTTTACTTTTCACCCATTTGAATGAAAGAACAAATGTCTTTCCAACATCCAACCCTACTTCTTTCCTTCTCTCTTTCCTCTGGGTTATTCTTTAATCATTCCACTTTCTCTTTATCTCCTCTATGCCTGGAGCACAGTCTACTTGCCAAGGAAGCATTACCAGTAAGAGAGAACCAAAATAGTGCCTTGAAGTGGATGTCTTCATTTGAAGACACTTGCTCAACAAGTACTTATCAGAAAGTGGTGGATTTCTCTTCTAGCACTGAAGATAAATTATTAAAAACCAGAGACTCCCTACACACACACACACACACACACACACACACACACACCTTAACTAAAAGCTTCAACTATATATAGAGAACTTGAAATAAAAATTAGCAATAGTAACCAGGCGCTGGTGGCTCATAGCTATAATCCTAGCTTCTCAGGAGGATCACAGTTCAAAGCCAGCCCAGTTAGGAAAGTCCATTAGACTCTTATCTCCAGTTAACCACTAGCAAGCCGGAAGTGGCACTGTGGCTGAAGTGGTAGAGTGCTTGACTTGAGCTGAAGAGCTCAGGAACAGCACCCAGGCCCATAGTTCAAGTCCCATGACGAACAAAACAAAAAAAATATTAACAATAGTGTATTATATGTATGTATGGAAACCTCTTACATTAGTTTATAGGTGCTAATTAAAAACAAAAAGAACACTTGGAAAATCTTCAAAAAGACAATGCTGAAAGAAAAATTATTTCTTTCAAAAATATAGATTGTAACCATATTATTTATATTGTATCATAAAAACAAGTTGCTTTTCGTATTTAAATTTTATAAAGTTCCAAGAAGGCAATCATTTTTGGAGTATCTAAATTTAGTTCTAATTTTCATTTGTTCTATTTCATATAAGATTCTGAATCTTATCTAATACTTACGTAATAACTTGAAAGTTTTTGATACTTCCTCAAAATAAACCATCAGTTGATATCCTTTTCTCAGTTTCTAACAGATACTTATGGTTTTTTTTTTCTTATTTATATCTATTGAAAAATTGTTGGTTATTTTCTGTTTTTGATTACAATTCTTTTTACTTTCAGAAATTATTTGTTTTATGAGATCATGTTTGATCATATGTGTTCATCTACTCTCTAATGTTTAATGATGTTGGAATAATTTTTCACGGTTGGTTCTATTTCAATTATAATTCTATTTTTTAAAGTTAAATGTATTTTAAAGTTACCTTGTAGTGAAGTTTGAGGAGATTAAAATTTTCTTCCAATTTGTCATTGAATTGTCTGTACTAGATACAGAATTATCTATCTTTTTTTCAATTACCTTGAGATGCCATCTTTATCACATACGTTTAGATATGTTTTTAAATTTTGTACTCCATTTTATTGAACGTTTTCTATACTATTGACAGTACCTCATTGTTTCAGCTTTACAATCTTTTAATATTTATTATGACTGTTTCCATGAATTATTCTGCTTTTTAGAACTGATAGATAATAAGAGAAAACTGACATTGTTGTGAAGCTTAGCTGCCCCATCCAAGAACATGCAATGCATTTTAATTTATATGAATATTCTCTGATTAAGATCGTTCTATCATTTTCTTCCTATCTTTCTTGCTATCTTGCCACATGTTGCTATCTTTTTCCATTTTGCTATAGCTATAGAGTCCTTTCCTCTAGCAAGTCCCCTAAGTGGTTTGATTTTAGAATATATTACAAATACTATTTTCAATTGGGTTCCTAGGAAAGATGTTGAATTTTCTCTATGTTCTATCCTTTTTTACTGCTGCTTTTTTTAGGTCGCTTAGTCTACAATTTTTAAGGTTATATATGTCAATTTTTTCTCTAAAACTTGTTAGCTACCACTTCTAGAAAAAAATACCCAAAGTGGCCAAATTTGACATATTTGACCTGCTTCTGATTTTATTGGAAATGTTTCTAAGAATTCTATTTTAACTGTGAAAATAGGTTAAGATACTTTCTGATGGTTAAGAAATGTCTGTCTGTCTTTCTTTTACTTTGAATGAAGAATAACTGTCAAATTTTAACATATGGCTTCTACGCATACATAAATATGACTATATTGACTATATTGTCTCATACGTGGTTACATTAATAGATTTTTCTAATATTGAATCTGAAGAACTAAGTTTTTTTTTGTAGAACAATCCCTATTTGATTGATGTGGACTTTCTCTTAGAAAGACAATAAGTTCTATTTACCAATGTGTTATTTGGTATTTTTTATCACTAAAAGTAAGTGAATGGCACATAATTCCTCTATTAACACATTCTTCATCTGATTCTGTTCTGAGAACTTTTGAAACCAAATGTTCAATTAATGTAATGTTATTGCAATTAGGTCCACAGTTTTAAATATCCACTAATGTCTTGGTTTTTTATTGCATCTTTTTGTACCACAAAAGTTTTGACCAGTTATATTACTCAGTACAATATACATAGAAACATACATGACCATTTTTATTCCTGCCTAGTTTTGGAGGAAATATACTCAAGGTAATTACAAGGTTAAAACATCAGCTAATTACACTAGTTAATTACACTCTAATTAATTATCTGTTCCTAGATTTTTCTCAATTTTTTTCATGCCCATAGAATTATTAGCTTATGTTTTTAATCGGTGTGTTTCTTTTTCAGTAATGGAGAAAACATATACAAACACCTTTCCTCTCACTATGACTTCTTCTGAAAAGCAAGAGACTATCTGTATTTTTGGAACAGGGGATTTTGGAAGATCACTGGGATACAAAATGCTTCAGTGTGGTTATTCTGTTGTTTTTGGAAGTCGAAACCCTCAGATGTCCAGCCTGCTGCCTAGTGGTGCGGAGGTATTGAGCTATTCTGAAGCAGCTCAAAAGTCTGATGTGGTAATTCTAACAATCCATAGAGAACATTATGGTTTTCTCACAGAACTAACTGAAGTCCTCAAAGAGAAGGTTTTGGTAGATGTCAGCAACAACCTCAAGATTAATCAGTATCCAGAATCTAATGCAGAGTACCTTGCACAGTTGGTGCCAGGAGCCCATGTAGTAAAAGCATTTAACACTATCTCGGCCTGGGCTCTCCAGTCAGGAGCGATGGATGCGAGTCGGCAGGTAAGATTAAGTGAATTTGTACTCAATCTTTAGAAAGGGAATTTTTTTCTGTTGTTTTATTTTTTCATTTTGTTTTGCTATGCTGTGCTTTTTTCTTACACACCATTTCACCATGTAGCCTCGGCTGGTCTTGAATTTGCAGTCTTCTTGCCTGGGCCTCCCCAGAGCTAGGATTATGCCTATGGACCAACAACCCACATGACTCCGTGAACTATCTCGTAGCTGCATTTACCTCAAAGATCCCAAGGCACGGTTCTAAAATAAATTTCCCAATAAATATTTCATGTTCCTAATATTTGCCAAGAATAATTGCCTTGAATTTGACCAAGCATAATACTCAATTCATTTACCAACTATCTCCGTCATCAGTTTTTAGTTCGACAGAATACAAGGTATCAGAATCTGAAGGCCTCTTGCCAGTACTAGAAATAAGACAGCTTGCTGGATGTCTTACCACTTCCATTACCTTGATTAGAAGAAACTGTAAGTGATGTTTGTTCCCACAAATATGAAAGAAAGATTAAACTGCTCAGAGTATAGAGAACCAAATCTTACAGCCATGTGAGATGCTGAAAATCTCCTTCAACTGAAAACCCTAGTACTTAGCTACACAACACTTGAGTGCAAGTTTAAAACATCATCTAGCTAGGTATGTTAATTCCACATCTGTTTTGAGAAACAGCTCACTATTACATGCCATTTTCCTACAGTGCTTACGCATAGATTTTCAATACAATTACTACATAAGGAGAAGTAAATATAGAATTAATTCTTTTTAACCCAGGTTTTTGTCTGTGGAAATGACGGCAAAGCCAAACAAAGAGTGGTGGATATTGTTCGCACTCTTGGACTGACTCCATTGGATCAAGGATCTCTCCTAGCAGCCAATGAAATTGAAAACTACCCCCTGCAACTGTTTCCAATGTGGAGGTTGCCCTTCTATTTGTCTGCTGCACTAGGTCTCTTCTTCTTTTCCTACTGTGTTCTAAGAGATGTAATCTATCCTTACATCAATGAAAAGCAAGATAGTACATTTCGCCTGGCGATTTCCATTCCAAATCGAGTCTTTCCAATAACTGCCCTTATCTTGCTGGCTTTGGTTTACTTCCCTGGTGTTATTGCTGCCATATTGCAACTCTACAGAGGGACAAAATACCGCCGGTTCCCAGCCTGGCTTGACCACTGGATGCTTTGCAGAAAGCAGCTTGGCTTGGTAGCTCTTGGATTTGCCTTCCTGCATGTCATCTACACACTTGTGATTCCTATTCGCTATTATGTTCGATGGAGATTGAGGAACATCACCATTGCCCAGGTAAATCTTTCTCCCTGTCTTCATGAGGAATTCTGGTATATCACATTCTATTTCACAGTCGTGGAAAAATCTCTTTGCTAAACATCTTCATTTTCTAAAGTAAAAAGAATTAGAAACATCAACCCATTGAGACCTCATAGAACTATGAAAAATAAAGGCTATTCCCAGGCTTTTGGGATCCAAAATCTGTCATCTCAAGGCTCATTGAGACACTGTCTGGCATATTTGGGGCTCAGGAACCCTTATGACACATTCTTGAATTCCTATGGGTGGAAGACAGTGGATTTTGTACAATAAGTGAAAACCCATGTGTTTTCAAGCTTCTATTTTTATGCATGCTACTTCCTTTTGGAAGTCAAAATAACTATCTTACAAGTAAAAAGGCTGTTCAAATTCATGCCACAGTAATGTACACAAACTTATGAAAGGGCACTTATAATTCAGCAATATTTAACTAGTGAGAAGCTGTCCTCAATAACTAGAAAACTAAGCAGTTCTGGACAAAATACCAAATATATGCTGTATATAGTCAAAAGTATAAGAATCAGGCTCAAAAAGTCTTAAAGCATCAAAGAGAAGTGCTTTAAGTCAGTTCTAGTTTAGAAATTAATGGCTCTGATGTACCTTACTACTATCTCAAAAGTTGTCCTAATTTGTTGGTGATACTTCTTTGGGCCTCCTTTCATTATTTCCTGGGAATGATTGAGAGTTTGTTGAATAAGTAATATTACAAAGACTATGGTTCCTTTTGACCTGAAGTGTGACAGAGTTTATGCTATAACTATGACATAGTCAGTGCAAATGGCCTAAACTTTATGTATCTGTAAATAATCAACATATAAAACAGAAAAGTCAAAATCTCCTATTATAATTTGAGAACATCAAGGATTATTTTTCTGCCTTGCTCTTGCTAGGTAAAAGCACTCTTCCAGCCTTGTTTTTTGCTAATTATTTTTGAGCTCGAGTGTCTCTTTTTGTAGGCACAATCCACCTATTTTTGGCTTCCCATCATAGCTAGGGTAACAGGTGCATTCTACCACTTCCAAATCTCTCAAACTTTTCTGTCCAGCCAGGCTGTCTGTAATCACGATTCTCCCAACTCAGCCTCCCAAGTAGCATGTATATCAAGTTTTGCTTCAGGACCAAAAGTCATATGGTAAAGAATGTTTAAGTGAATATTTAATTTGTTTTAGATAGTGCAAGGTAAATTAAAACTCTCTGCAGGACTCCTAGAAAATATATACTATAGGCTGGGAAGGTGGCTCAGTGGTAGAGCGCTTGCCTTGCATGCATGAGGCCCTGGGTTCGATTCCTCAGCACCACATAAGCAAAAAGAAAAAAGCCGGAAGTGGCGCTGTGGCTCAAGTGGTAGAGTGCTAGCCTTGAGCTGAAGAGCTGAGGGACAGCGCCCAGGCCCAGAGTTCAAGCCCCACGACTGGACCCCCCCCCAAAAAAAAGAAAAAGAAAATATATACTGTAAAAACTGTACAAATCATAAAACAAAGCTACAGTGCAACCAAACCAGGACCATTTTTTTTTTACAAAAGTAATTCTAATTGTGTTTTTCAACATTTTTTAAATGATGAATGAGAAGTGCCATATAATTTGCTCTGAGCAAATTTCACATGAGAAGTATGTCTTAGTCCCTTAAAAGTGAGGTCAATTTCTAATTTAAAAAACTGTAATTTTTTTTTATAACTTTCCTTAGATCATGGACAAGAAAGAGAATCCATTCAGTGCCTCCTCAGCCTGGCTGAGCGACTCCTATGTGTCTCTGGGAATCCTGGGATTTTTCCTGTTTGTTCTCTTGGGCATCACTTCCTTGCCTTCAGTTAGCAACACAGTCAACTGGAGGGAGTTCCGATTTGTCCAGGTGAGAACTTCATAATTGAAACTTCTTTAGACTGCAAAATGAACATAACGTTACAACCATTCTCATTTTTTTCTCTCCTATCATGCCTATGTTTCATTTTGCTCCATCACTTCTCCAGCTATCTCATTTAAAACTCATATTAATGTTGGACAAGAAAGGTATTCATTACCTTATTCATGTAACTGTAACCCCTCTGTACAGCATCTTTACAATAATATAAAATTTTTAAAAAATCTAAGGTACAAGCTGGCAAGTTCCATGGCAGTTTGGTTTTCAAATGAGGACACCTTGCCAGTATTACTGACTGCTCCCACTGCCGCAGCCCAGGCAATTGAAAAGCACCACTAGTTAGGAAAGTAGGCATGGCAATGGACTAGGTAGAAAGTGAAGAGAAATCTAAAGACAAATTTGTGCCTTCAGAAAGTGAACCAGACAATAGGAACATATTGATAGGAAAAGGCAGATACTGCAATAAAATTTAAAACCATTCAAGTAAGATTTGATAGAATCACTCTAGAGATTCTTGGTCTGTAAGAAGCAAATTGGTTTTTTGTTTTTTGTTTTTTTGTTTTTTGTGTATCAGCCACTCACACACTGCATTCACAGCAATTAATGACTATTCCTGGAGACTAATTGTCCTCAAAGTATGGCCTCAGAACCAGTAGCAGCAGCACAAAGATAAATACATAAAGCACCAAACCACACCTAGACCCACTGAATCAGACACTCTGAAGACGTGGCCCAAAGAGTTACCAGGTCTCTAGATGAGTCAAATGCTTGCTCATTGTGAACCATTGTTAAGACAATAGACCATTAGTAGTGGACATTGGAATGGATTATCAAGTCCTACAATTCCTCCCAGAGATCAGATTACAGCCCAAAGCTTTTCATGATAACACCTTTAGTCAAAGTAAGACAGGAAAAAAACAAAAAACCAAACCCTGAGTTTTCGAATTTGGGCAATAAAAGATGATAGGTAAGAGAGTTTTACCACTGGAGACTAAGGCAAGGGGCATTATTATCATTCTAAGAAAACTTTTCCACTCATCCAAATTAAGGGATAACTACCAACTCATTTGTCACCATCGTTGATTTTTTTTTTAGTCAAAAAAATAGTATCTTGAAGAAAGATTAATACATTTTACTCCCCATGGCAGCATCGTAAATATTATAGGTTTCAAACTTTGTGGTTGTTCACAAATACACTTTATTGGCTTGAAATGTTTCTCAGTTTAAGATATAAGTAATGTTAATGTACCTATTTTTTTCCTTCTTGTTTATAGTCCAAACTGGGTTATTTGACCCTGATCTTATGCACAGCCCATACTCTGGTGTATGGTGGGAAGAGATTCCTGAGCCCTTTAAGTCTGAGATGGGGTCTTCCTTCAGCCTACGTGTTAGCGCTCGTCATCCCTTGCACAGTGCTGGTTACCAAGTTTATACTCATCATGCCATGCATAGATAAGACCCTTACTCGGATCCGCCAAGGCTGGGAGAGAAACTACAAATACTCAAAATCAGCACTGAATGGAAGATCCGACATTTAAAGCAAAGTTGAGCTTTTTCCCTCACCATGCTCTGAGGTGTTAGGAAATGTTGCCTGACGTGGAGAACCTGATGTATTGAGAAGCAACACTTATTTTATTTCAGGTTTGTGATGAATCAGACCAGGTCTGGAGGCATGAAGCCGAGATTGAGATTAGCATAGTGGTTCCACATTAAGAAGTTTCTTGAGTGTCTGAGTGTCGGCAGCATGAACAATGTTAGATCTTACAAACTCCAGAAGAAGAAAAAAAGCGTATCTCCCTTCTATACGTCGAAGGCAGAGATAAGTGAAAGAGAAAACAGTGATGAAGGTTTTGCTATAGGCGTGTGTCTGAAGAAGCAGCCTAAATGAAGCACAAAGAATGTAATTTGTTTCTATCTTTCTTTTCCAAAAATAACAGTGATCATAAATATTGCCATAGTGATTTTATTCTATTTTGTTTGTTAACAGATTTGGTGGTGGTGGTGGTGGTGGTGGTGGTGGTGGTGGTGGGATGTTTCTCTTGCTTGCTTGCTTCTTCTAAAGCTCAAACTCAAACCCAGGGCTTCATGGATGGTAGGCAAACGATCACTGAACTATATCCTCTTCTCATCCTATATTCCCTATGAATCAGACTATTTTATGACACAACAAAATGGTCACCATCCAATCGGAAGCAACCATGCCTTGAGTATACACAAAACTGCAGTTGTAGTAAGTCTTCCTCTACAAAAAGTAGGTAGAGGAAAAATTGAAAAAGAATAGAAATATATTCATTTGGATTTTTTAATGTGTAAACAAAGAAGGGTTAATAGATGCTCTTGCACATAAAAAAACTCACAAGCTAGAATTTTAGTTAAGAAATAAATACTATAGAGTTTCATTATATTATGTCTGGCATCATGAGGATATTATGGTAGATTTAATAAATTATATATTCTGAATATTGCTCAATATTGGCCATTTATGAATTTAATTTCTAGTCTGTTATAATTTTTAAGCAGTCAAATTAGATGAATTATGTGAAGTGTGAATTTGAACAGTGCAGAGATGAGTAAGAACTGTGGGAAATCAGAGACGTGAGAGCAGTAGGTGCAGTATAAGACCCACTTTGTTTTCCAATTCTTGGTGCAATGTAAATGGATTTACCGATTTGCTGTAGGTCCCTTTCCAAGGTGACCTTCAACAGGATTAGCCATCCTAGCACAACCCTGGAGCTAAAAGGAGACTGATGCACAGTCTTCCCACATATCACTGAAATAACTAAAAAGCATTGGATCTGACATTTTTCTGCCTAATCTACAAAGGCCATTTATAGTTTCTTATTTTCTCTCTTTTTTTTTTACTTTTGGTATCACATATTACATATGACATTATACCAAGTGATTAAAATATGTGAGACCATCACCCACAATCCACCTTATTTTTCTATACTACTTTTTGAAAATAGCTATATCTATATACTTCTATTCTATTTAACTTTTCTTTTAGTCTTTATTTATTGAAAGTTTTACACTCTTATACATGATATACATATGTATTTAATGACTGTATAACATTACATCAAATCAGCATTTAACTTCTGCCTTAATTGAACATGTAGGAAATAGCCATTTTTTTACTAAAACAAATATTTCATATAATATCTTTGTACTAATAAATTTTTTATATATGCGATTTACTATGTTCGGTCAACTAATTCTAGAGTGGCCTCATTGATACCATTTTTATTGGATGAGGGTATTTGTTTCATCATAGATTTGAAGTTCTATGATTTTTTTAAAAATAACTGCATAAGCCCACAGAAGATATGGTCCTCTAATGTATCAGCTCAAGCAAGTCTGCAAGAAGCTGGAAGACTTGGAATGCTAAGAGATATGAGATTGGCCCAGGAGCATCAGTGGCGAAGAGAGAAAAATGTCATTGCTTATTCTTGTTATGTGAAACAGCTCGATGTTGCCGAACTGGCTAGAGAGTTGTTTGATTAAAGCTTCTCTACCCTCAAGGCTAGTCTAAAGAAGGCTTTAGGATTAATTACACTTCCTTGTCAGTAATAGCTTGATCCATCACTAAAAAAATAGGAAAAACCACATCTAGATAAAGCACTTGCCTAAAGTAAAAATGAACTCTACTTTGATAATCCACTTTTTAAAAAGCTCTAGTGTTTGGGGCATAACAGCTACATTAACAGACATGACCTTTGTCCCCAAGCCATAGTGGTTGGCCACAGAAAACCAGCATTGTCCAATCCCTCTCAACCTCATCCCTCCATCTGCCCCAAATTCATGAACCCAAATTAACCACCTTAATAAAGCTGATTCCTTCAGCTAACTTAGACAGTGGACACAACGGGTTTACAGCCAATGTGATAGGTGCTTGCATAAACTCCTTTTAACAGATGCAGACTTTTTGACATTAATAAGAGACTGCTTTCCTTGACCGCTGCTCCGTTTCCTGTATCCTGAAAAATTTCTACTAAGTTCATAGACCATTTATTTTTGTATCCTTTCCCCATGTTAAGGAATAACAGCTATGGTAAATGTATACTCATTAAATGTTACTTTTGAAATATTTTCTAGCTTTGTTAATTCTGGTCTTGACTCATCAGCTTTCCAAAGAAATTGACTGAAAGGTTTTGAATCACAGTAAATCCAACTATAGGGACTAAAAACAGCACTCTACAAGGATCAAGGAAAAAAAACTAAAAATTAAAAAGGAGATGCAATATGTGTGTTTGAAGCAACTACATGAATTTATAGCTTTGTGCAATATATGCTTGAGCTCAGATACATGGTGCCTTGGAATGTGCTGTGGATGCTTCAGTAGTACCCTCAGAGAGAGGGATCCACTGGCTAAATAGAGGGAAAAGACTATTCCACCTTTGGCTTCTGTAAGAATTAGAAAAAGATGCTTTCCTTCTGCAGGTACATCCATTAGGCCAGGGCTAATAGCCGACAAGTGGATGTCAGGTTGCATTGAGACTGTGTGACCTGTTATTAAATTCCCTGTTCAACTAGACAGCCACAGCCTTAATGGGTGATATCATTCTTTCAAAAACAGAACTATAAAAGAAAGAAACAGTATTTTCTTTTCAGCAACTAACTAGGAGGAAATCAAAAAGTCTACTTAAAACTACTTTGATTAGAAAGACACTCAAGAGCCCTTCCTACATTTATTGTTTTGGGATCACAATGGAACTATGATGATGAACATGTACGATGCAGAACTCCTCACAAAGTTAGGGTGCCTGGCAGTCAAAGTGTTCCACAGAGTGATCACAGTTTTCCTTCTCTCTTACCATGTCCCACACCCCACCAGCACATAACCAATGCAGGTGCACATGCACATACACACGAGCATGCATGCGTACACACACACACACACACACACACACCAGAAGAGCCCACAAACATCCTTACAGGATCCCAACTCCCATTTTCTATAATAAAGATTACAGTCTAGAAAAACCTTCCACTCCTCTAAAACTTTGTTTGGTAGAATTTAGCTGAAAAGAATTAAGTTACTCTTATATGACCTTTCCTCCAGCTCAAGGCAAAACCCAAGCCTTGTTGAGATTGGTTTGGGAAGAGAGAAGGAGAGGAGGGAGATGGCTAGAGGAGTAAGTCTAATCAAGCTATACTGTATGCATATATGGGTGTGTCCGAATGAAATTCCCTTGTACAACAAACAAAGAAATAAACAGAAAAAGCTTGTGTTGCCAAGTAAGACTCAAATGAGGAAGGAAAAGAATCAAGGGTAAAAGTACCAAGGCAAGAGAAAAAGGAAATGTGGAGGGGCGAGGGAAGATACCCTGGCCCTAGCCCAGCCAACACAAAAAGCACCTAGTCCTTACCTCTCCCTGCTGCAGTATGGTTTCAGAAGGGTTTTGATTATGTTTTGTACATAGTATGATGGGTATATCCTGTGCTAACATGATATGTTAACATATTCCATGTACAAAAGAGCTCTTTATTGCTATTGCTACATGGTTAGAGAAAGAAACTGAGTCTTAAATACGTAGCACCAGGGCTCAGTTCATACAGCTAGTAGGAAGCAGAGCTGGGGTTTGAATCCAACCCCTCTGACTCCAGGCCTTCTTCTCTAAACACCATCAGACATTCTCAAATTTCCTTTACAATCCAAAACTTGGGGTACATAAAGCAAACTATCGACAAAGCCGGAAACATTTTTTAAAAACACAAAGCCCATTTGCATTTTAAATACATCCTGATTACCTTGTCCAACCATACCAACGGTTTGTTTAAGCTGATTTCAATACAGCCTACAAGGTTGTAGCAATGTAGGACCTGCAGGTTCCACATTGGGTTCAACACCACTGCCACTATCATTTCACTCTTCTGACTCTGATTTAGCCACAAGTCATCCTGAACCCTAAAGAGAGTCTTGCCTGGTGGATGGACAGGTATAGGTGAGAAGCGTCTAACTTCTCTCCAGGGCCTAAGAACAATGTTTCCTTTTGCTTGGCTTTTGCCTTTGTGCTTTGTGTGCTGAAGGGGCCTATTTGTTCTTGAGATTTAGTGACTCATGCAGAAAATTTCATAAAAACCATTCGACTGGAACTTGCGGTACACCACCACCTATCAGGATGTGACCAACTAGAATCAAGCTCTTCCCTGTGATTTTTAGAGGCTGAAGTTTTTTAAGCAGCATAACCAGAGAGCGGTCCTGTCCTCATTTCATTAGAGCCGAATAGCAGAATCTGCCACCAACACAGCTATCGTCCAGTCTCTCATACCCAGCCTTCTTACCATACAGGCTTTTAATAACAGAGCATTGACCTCTACCGGGAGGAAGTCTTTGGTCAGTTTTAACCACTGGGAGCAATTAGGAAGTTCTTACTTGCATATAATCAAAATGTTTTCTAATTGCACTTCTATTCATTCTCTATAGTGTTATTGCTTAAAGAGAAAAGTACCAATATTATTTTTCCAGCTCATCACAGATCACTGTGTGTAGACATAAAACACAAAAATCTCACACTTGAATATGGTAGCAACATCAAACTTTCATGAAAGCTTGACAGCAAGTACTTCACAAAACAGCGCCATCTGCAGGCCAGATGTTGAATAGCATCCGGAGATGAATGAAACCACCTAGCTTGATTTAAATCCTCCAAAAACTGATCCTGCCGCAAGGATTCTGGGGCAAATACTTTATCCCAGAAGTGAAATCACTAAATACCTGGAATGAAAGCAAAGTACACAGATGAACAAAGGAACGAATGTGAATTTTTAAGTTCTGTTCTGGTGGGAAACTCTGAAAGGCAGCGTCAAATGTAACTCAGAGTTATCCCAATTAACAGGAAAGAAAACTGGTTTTCATCCATCAAACCTGTCATGGAGTGAGAGAAGATACCAAGCATGAACTTTCCGGCACTTGTGAATTCCCCCACAACCTCACATCCTATAGCACTTTGGCCAGGAAGAAGGGCCCACAGGTAAACTGTCACAGGTCTTGATTCACAAGAGCCGCTTGCAGAGATGAATTTCAAGAGGGAATTGCTGAGACATTAGCTTGATCCATTGGGAAATTGCAAAGGCTGTGAACAGAAACTCATAGGAGAAATATGTGAAAACTTTTTCACAATGAAATGTATGAAAAGCAACACTTATTGAAAGGCCACTTCCTACATAACAAATGGGCAAGAATCCAACAGATTGAACACCCACTGGGTGGCGAGGCTATGGAAATACTTGTTCTCTGGCACTGATCTTGCAATGCAGGACCACCCTTGCAGAAAACAATTAGGCAATATCTTTCTAAATTAAAATGTACATTAACTTAACCCAGGAGTCCTAGTCTTGAGAAATTATACCACAGATAAGTTCATAATCATCTGTAATGACAAACAGATATTGTTATTCATATTATTGTTTTTGCTGAGTGAGGGCATTGTAAAAGCAGAATATGAGCAATATCTTAAGCATGTATCTGTAAGATGACTTCAGCAAACTCTGATGCTTTCAGGGGATGGAAGAGCATGCAGCTATTCTAAACAAACAAGGTGCTGTGTTCTTCAAACACAAAAGCATTTCGAACTGCATGTGATAAAGAAAAATAAAGACATGAATAAGTGCAAATAGGTAGGTTAGGATAATATGTTATTTATAAAAAAAGAAACAGCATATACAGAATGGTTTATTTTACATATCTGTGTTTGCTTTTAATTGTCCGAAGGAGCATTAGAAGGATCCAAAAGAGTCATCACTAAGCACGATGGAGAAGAGAAGAGTATGAATAGAAATAGAAGCACTGTTCACCTTTTCATGTCATCTTGATTCTAGAGTTGCATACTTGGTTGTTTTGCAAATGATTAAAATACGTTTAATTGAAAAAGTAATTAATTGCCTATCCTACCTAAACTTTCCAGCTGGCTTAACCTTGTTCATTCTAAACCATTCCAGTTTATCCAGGACTTTCTCTCATATAATAATTTCCAAATCTTTTTTATCGCCCTGGCCCCTCTTCTTCCCTTGTGCCTTCTAAAAGTATGTCAATGTGTTGTTTGTTTGTTTTTTCAAATGCAGTTCCTGAACCACAGGCAGAATTCCAGCTAAGGTCTATCCAAGTGAGAGCACACCAGAACTGCTTGTTCCCTTATGCTAGATGGTGGTGTCCATATGCATGATGTGAGAATTCACAGGGCATTTTGCTTTGTGTTTGGCAGTTACATATTATCAGGATCACATCAATTGATATAACGATATTTTTTACAAATGTATTAAATCTGTCCCACCCACCCAATCAGTCTCTTTTTCCACCATGCACCCTACCATGTATGATAGCATATTTTCCCACTTACATGAGAAGCAAAAACCAATAATCACTCTGTACTATCTCTGTAATAATTCCATAAATCTAAAGGTGTTCAAAGATCAATTAAAAAATAACCATGCACAGTACCTTTATTACATTTTATCTTACGGACATTAATCAATAATGTAGTGTCTATCCTAGAAAGTTGTTTAAATTAATAATCCCATTTTCCAAACTATGAGCTGGCTATACATCTCCTATGGTTTCCACATTTTATGTGAGGGTATGTTGGTCCTGGGGCTTGAACTCAGGACCTAGGTGCTGCCCTGAGCTATTTTGCTCAAAGTTAGCTATAGCTCTACTTCTGGCACTTTGGTGGTTAATTGGAGATAAGAGTTTTACACAATGTCTTGCCCAGACTAGCTTCAAAACCCTGATCCTTAGATCTCAGCCTTCCGAGTAGCTAGAATAACAGGTATGAGCCGCCGGTTTCTTTATCTTTAGATTTTGATACCAAGTATAGAAACATTTAATCCATAACTTCCATCCTCAGCTGCAATATTTCATAGGCTAGATGAAGCCTATAAACTCATTTCACAGATGTGAAAACCAAAGCCCATGGGGGTGAAGCAATTTCTGTAAGGTCACACAGCTACAGATGACTTGATTTCCAGGCTTAGGTATCTTCTGGTCCTTTTGGAAGCAGGCCATTCTGTTGAAAGCAAACTGGTTGTACATCAAAATCAAAAGGGGCAAAAGGTCAGATGGATCAGAGGCAGATACACACACACACA